GAAAGTGCGCGTGACTGCGCGCCGCCGGAAAGAACAAAGGCACATACAACATTCTTTATAACCCGCATGTTTATATTTTATTGCAATTTAACTTTCACATAAAGAATAAAACGTTTATCTTCGAATACAGTTGCAAACACATTTCTTGCTGTTTAAATAGTCAATAGGAGACAAAACTTAATTCCGAGACTTTAGATATTATAAATGTCAAACATGTATATATGTAATAAAGTTCGCGTGATACAAATAAAGATTATCTATTGCAACAAATAAACTAAGCGATAATATATCTCCGTATATCAGTTGTTTTGATTGCAGATTTATATAGATAGTATAATATATGTATAAAGTATGTGGCCCATACATCACGATTATTATTCAGAATAATATTAAGCGTCAATTTACGCATAATGCAATCTTAAAATTATAACTGATAAATTATAATCCGAAAATTTATTACTTGAAACAAGAAAAAAAAAACTTAATTTAAAAAGTGACATGTCTGTTCATTCAGAATTTGCAACTAATTATTTAAAATTTGGTTACTCGCACGTAGCCGGCAGTCTTAATCAATTCCAGCATAAAAATGCAAGAAAGAAATACATCAATGGAAAAGGGGTATGAATGCGCGTGACGTCCTTTACCGTGAACGTGACGTAGTTGATTTTCGTGTAAGATACGATCGTCAAAGCCTTTACTTTCGCTTGACACAGCATGAAACAACATCGTGATTTACACGCATTGAGAAAAAAATCTTTGATTCTTGCGCTAGCATCGCTTTTCTCTTTCCCTGGATCAGGTAAAGTTTACTGCCTTTACAATAGTGGGAGAAAATGCACACGATAAAAGACGAAAGTCTGAGCGCGAAAAAAAAGGATTTCGGGAAGAAAGGGTTAAAGATGAAAAACGAGTGAAAAAAGGAAGTGTCACATGATTCTCCGTTTCGAAACAGCAATAAAAAAGAAATATGTTAAGTTTTGTATCTAGTAAGGTATAGATTTACGGCGGAATATTGAAGATAAATATTTAAAATTTAAATTCTTTCAAGAATTTAAATTTTTGGCGTATCGATAGGCATCGCGAATAACTGAAAAATTAAAATATATTTAAACATAAACATGTGATCATTAGAAGTATTTCAAAATGTGAAAAATTGTAACATTCTATTCTATTTCTTCCACATTTAAGGCATTCTTAAAAAATATTTTCTTCAGATATATTAACGTATCCTTTGCAATATTTTTATGTTTCGCATAATAATGTGAATTACCATATTGACGCGCCAATGAACATCAAGTAATATTAAAGTCCCTTCGAAAGAAAATGTGGAAGTGTAAACGAAGGTGTAAATTTCTTCCCTTCCTAAAGTTAAGTGTCAGTCAAATCCTCGATGAGCCGATTTCGAATACCTTACATTGTAAGATATCGCTTCGGGGTGGCCATCCGCGTAAATGTACGCCGATATTTGGAATCGACTGGCCTGTCTGAGGATTTGACTGGTGTGATGGCTTCGGCACGCGACATAACGGGGTACGCGCCGCCGCCGTGTGACCATAAAATAAACGTTTGGGGTGGCGCAGGCGGAGGCCAAACCTGGCAGCGTATAAACACTTATATAACGGCAATTAAACTGCTTTTAAGGCCCATAAAACTGCAGTTTCAATAATCTCTGTGACAACACGATTCTGACCTGTCTCTGAAAACGTGGCTTCCCCCGGTGGATGTCAAAAGCGGTCACGCCGTACCGGCGAATGTAAAAATTTCGATCGTTGTCTCCCCCCCGCGCTCTTAAATTTCTCGATCGACTGCGTCCCCCAATGTCTAGTTTTTACGACCCGCTTTGTACCCCCTCAACCTCCGATTTCGCACGCCTCAAAATACAAATGTTACATGTTTCCTTGCATCTAGACTTTATACTTTTCCCACGGCAACGTACCGCGCCGAGTTTAGAACTCGGTAAGGAAAACATATATTAACGGTGTATCGAGATGAGATCAAATAGAAAAGTGGGAAGCGGCGCGTGAGATCGCGGTATAAAGCAGAATTCCAGATGAAATTTTCCGGATAAAATTTCGATGGGAGCTATTCTTTTTCTAGCCGAATGCCAGATACCTGCTGGATGCTGATGCGACCCAGGCGAGGGAGGAAACGTTTACGTGTGAGAGACGGGGAGAGCCGACGAGATCGGAGGCGGGGGAATACGAAGAGAGGTCCAGGTAGGGGAGGGCGGGGGCGATGAAATGGGATAATACCGACGCTGCAGGACGCGGCAGCCATCATCGAATGCTAATGAGGGGTTGGCGGCTTTTGGGGCAGTGGACTCTACCCGTAGAGTGGTGCGCCGTTGTCGGCGGATCGGCCTGATTATAAATTATACATTATCTCCTGCTAGTCCCCGTGTACACACCATAATCCAGCTAGACATTTGCAGGCCTCTGAACCCCCAATGTCAGAATATGTTCGCGTATTCGCGTACCAGAGACAGATTAGAAATTCGTACGTCGTCCACGCTGACAATTCCGTTCTCGATTACCACATTCATCGCCACGTTAGCCAGCATAATTTTAATTTTAGCTGAACGTGAAAGAAATTCCCGAAAATTTTCGTGTTCTTGAGATTTCGTTTCGTTCTCAAGCGCGAAAGTAATCGTGGCTCCCGAAAGAATTTTGTATTAGTTACAAGTGAAAATGTAAAGCCGTTCTATCGCATCCGCGACCCATTATCGATGTGAATAAAAAAAGAGTTCGTCAAAATCAAATCTCGAAAATAAGTATTACAGTATTGCATTCGTCATGCACATTATATGAAAGAAACACGAGAATTAAATCTATTATTTTTAATATCCGATACATAACGCAATTGACAAAGAATACAATTTCTCATGGAAAATAAAAAAAAGATACAGTGAAGTTCTTTATGTGTTTTTCGAGAAAAATGCTGAATAATAAATAAGATAATGTAAATGTTTATTTGGGTCTCTCCGTTCTTTTTTTTATCACATCTTACGGGATACTGTATCTTCGTTTTTAAATCTTCGAACAAATTTTAATGAGATACACGGACGACCTCGAAAGGACAAGTTAAAAAAAAAGCCGATTCTAAATCTCAGAGCATAGCACATTCATGTATTAATCATATGCTGAATCAGTGAAAACAACGAAGACTGTGAGTGAAAAAAGAGGGTTCACAAGCACATGAATTGAATTTAAAACAAATGCGATAAATAAAATAGTGTTACAAAGTGTCTATATACTACTCGTAAATTTCTTTTCTGTCGTATGAGAAGATGATTCGTCGATACATCTATGCGCCACACAAGAATATATATATATATATACAAAATTTAACTAAAGTTAATTAAAGTTAGAGAAAACTAATTTAATTTTTTCAAGAAATTGCGTCTAAATACACGTTTGTATCTAGATATATGTTTCCATTTACATTATTTTCCTTAAAAATGTAGCACGTTATTCACATTCTTTTGCTTTATTTGAAATAGTCTAATTAATTTATGATAAATATTTATTGATACACTATGATATATAATTTTAATTTTTAATATTTTATATTAATCTATTCTGCATTATTATGCGTATATTATTATTCAATTACTTTAAAATTATCATCATTTTGCATTACATTATTTATTAATATAATTGTTAATTTAAAATATAATGTAATGAATTTGTTAACAGATTTTTAATAAAATATTACAGTTTCAACTTGCTTATAGTGGCGTAATACATGCAGATTACTAACGCATGCGATTAGTAAAGAACAGCTGACGTATAAATATATAACGGTGAACGCGTATTCTGATTCATCGACCGATTACATGTATGCAGAAATAGATATATTCCGTTTGAATATAGGAATGTAATTTCCTACCGGAGTGAGCATTCCCTGTGCACAGTTGGAAACTTCGTACAGTGATCGCCAATGCCTATTTGAAATTATGATCCGCCTGATGTAAACAAACCGTCGCGATAAAAGCCGTCGGCTGAAGTTTTAATTTTATCTAATCGGTATTTACTGCACTATTGTGGGCTCGTAAGTGGCCGTATAAAAGATAGTCATGGAGATTATTCGCGGCCAACATTATCACGGTGACGACAGGTGTAGTTGCCCATATACATGTCCTTCTTGCATGCGCAACTAACATAAATGAATAGGGTAAGGACTTAGCGTGTGCCGCCCGGTAGCGCGATTCACGTAAATGATCCGAACGATGACCTTGACACCTCTCGACACGACTGGGATTACATCATTTTTTATCGTAGACCGATGATTAAACCATCCGTTACAGCTACGACCAATCGACAGCGTCATAATTGCACAATCAAGCACAATAAATTGCAAAAACAGGAAGAAAAGTTTTTGGAACCGTCATTTGTACATATTCAAAAATACAATACGTGATGCATGTCTGGATAATGTTAATGATGAAACTGAAGGAAAGGATAAGTCGTTGCTTTCAGAAGAAAGAAAACACCATAATGTCCCATTCGACTACAAGTACCTTCTCTATATATTAAACTGAGGAAAGAAATGTGACTAGCATATGGAGTGTAACTTTGTACTTGAGAAAAATCATTTCCCTCGCATTCCAGCTTTTTTTCAGACCTCGAGACATGTAGATCTCATATTAAAAGCTTATCTTTCGCGATTACTATTCATTTAGTAATATTTTATGTAAAATAGACCACTTTTTCTTCTCGAAGATCGAATTATGTATTCTTCGTAATTAATATAAACAGTATATTAACTGCATATTACAGTTTGTTAATTATTGTAATTGTTGATATAATCGTTTATGACAATTAATTTTAAATTAACCTTTCCATTCAAAGGAAAATTCAAATGCATGTAAAATTTCAAGTATTCACCGAAATATGGAATATATTATATGTATATACATATTTTTTTATACAATAATGCAAATAATGCCGGTAATATATAGTATAAAAGCATTCTAATTAGCAGCAGCAATTCGTACTCACCGCACACCACTCTGTCAAATGGACTCATCCAATCTGGAAAATAAAAAAGTTCATTAGAGTATCCGTATACAAAACTAATTATCGGACGCTTCGGCAATTATCTTTTGTCTTCTTTCCCATGATGTCAAGTGGGATAATAGAAATCAGATTCATGCGCAGTTTGAAATTGTAAAACTACGCATGCAATTGAGATAAGCTTATAACATGACACAGAGCACGATTCCTTAAGCGTATTATAATAAAATAATGATTTATGATATCAATTATGATTCAAATGCATGTATTAATATCAAAAATTACATATACAATGCAAAACATTAAAATAACAGGAAACAAGAAGTCAGAGGAAACTACGCAACTCTCGTAATCTTAGTTAAAAGAGAACATTAAATAAACGGTCGGCAATGTCAAAGATTAGGTAGTAGATAAAGTTCAGTTGATATTAATAATTTGCAAAAATGTCTCGAAGTTACTGTTAACCTTGTAGATGAAAAATCAAAATGTTTTAGAAAAATATTTCTGTCAAGATAAGTATGTTGACGCGTATCCAGATCAGCAAAATTTGCACGATTGACGTATGCACTACATACGCATATAATAATAAAATAATCTATGAAAGGACTACTTGTGTTACTGCATATTATTACTTTTATAATACATAAATTAATATATAAAAATGTAACGTTTTTCCATTGTAACGGTTTCGTTTTTTTTATTTGCAATTAAATTAAAATTCAATAAGTTTTGAACAATATTCAGAATATCGATTGTTAAAAAGGAGAAACATAGACTTTATTGTCAACAAATTTTGATTTAACTGCATAGCTTCGCGAACTAAAATCATCACGCTATATGTCGAATCATTCACCTCTCTTCACAAGAGACATAAAGCTATTCTTACATACTCATAAAATAGATAAGAAACTTATTGACGCATGAATAGATATAAGACAGTAAGAGTGTTCAAAAAACTGTAAACCCTTCAGAGAGGCTAGAAATGTATCAAGTATAAAAGTAGGAATAAATAAAATTGGAAACTTTATTCACCGCGACAACAGAGCAAAAATAATGTCAAATTAGCTTGCCACTCGTTTGGAACGTGCGAAAACATTACCAAAGTAAAAGATAACGTTATAAATATTATAAGGAGTTTAAATATGAAGTGACAGCATTAGATATCAATTGATAATTTAACTAGCATTACAGAATTGAATAAAACAACATTGAAGTGACTGGCACGTGAAATTAAATTATTCAGGAAGTCATGATCGAGAAAATCAATTATATCAAAGAGATAGTAATCGCTCGTAATTTATAAAAGCTATTTAATTTTCTAGATAACGTCCACGTAAACACCAAAGGTTGATATTGCGAAGACCGATGACCAGTGGCCAATTCCATCGTCATTTATTCTTCACAAAGAACGTAACAACAATAACAAGGAAGCAGAAATCATAATGAAATTGTAATCATGTCACTAATCAGCGCGCTATGCTATCGTCATGCGCATTAGAAATTACACGAGCGTGATCATGATTCGCGGCGCAGGCATAATGTGGGACCTCACGAGTTGGCAAAACGGAAAGTTAACGCGTTAACGTCAAGTATTATTATAACGTGTTGATAGTGAAACGGGCTTCGGAAAATAATTTGCATATTCAAAGATTACAACTTAATCGCAATATATATTATTCCGCGATCCCTCGCCCCGTGCGGGTGTATGTATTATATTACTATACATGCTAACGCAAGTATGTACATTGGTATACACGCGAGAGAGGGGGAGAGGGGGAAAAGAAAGAAAGAGAGAGAGAGAGAGATTGTACAACCAATCTCCGAGAAATTTTATTGCAAATACGTGGTAAATAAGTTAGAACTTTAGTTTGAAAAGTACAACAGTACGCGTTTAATTCGTTCATCGCGTAAATTTCCGCTAACATATAAGTCGGCGCTGCGCGTCTGGACGTGACAAATATACGGCAATTGTTACAATTGGACTTTATATGCCTAAAGACTCAATGAAGTATCTAAGAAGGATAAATCTAACCGTGACCGTAGAATCGCCACGCCATTCGTGTGCGAGGGAAACCGCGAATCGACATGTTAACCGGCTTCTATACTGCACTTCCAACAAAGTTAAAACGGGGCCCCCTTTTCACGCGTACTTCTCGGAGTTATTTCGCGCGCCATTGGCACAATGTCACAACAATATCAAACGCGAAAAAAATCAACGAAACGTGCCGTTTCGCATTACCGCAAAAATGTGCAGTTTTCGCGTCAGCGAGGCGTCGCGAGAAACGCGACAACGGGGACTGGGACCCGCAGAGTCGCGCTGCACGTTGTTCGCCGCAAATATACACGATAAATACCGTCGGCGCTTTGTCCTAGCTAACACCACTCAGCTAACAAAGGCTCTCTTCGACAAGCCACACGTACGATGTATTATGCACGACATCGGAATAACTTCAAGTTTCGTGTGGTAACAACAGCGTTTCTAACAGGGACTCTAATCCAACCGCGTATAGCGTATTCTTTAAGTTGCTGTTACGTTCGTGTATTCTTCGAAGATTGCTTGTTACATTTCAAATTACAATGCAAATTATTTTCGTCAGCACCGCTACATTTGCAATTGCAGCGCACAGCAAAGCTGGTATCGTGTAATCTCAAAATAGTGGATATTAGAAATGAGAGGATTTTTTTTTCTTTACTTTTCTCTTACCTACATTAATATTAAATGTAAGAAAAGCAGATTCTGTATTCATATGACTCCTTTTCATTTTTACAATCATAGAATGTGCTTTTAAAGCCACCCCAATTTCAGAAACTTTTCGTAAATGTATGTACGTGTTTCTAATATGTGTAAAATTACTATATAAAACAGCCAGTAAATAATTCTCTAAGAGCATTAATTTTCATCGAAAAATCGCGTGTAAGGAAAAGAAATATTAAACGATGTACAATATGTGTATAGTTTTTTATCGGAGAAGTATGTCATATTTATATGTTCATGCCTACAAAGTTCATCTAAAGAAACCGTTATCTATACCTTTTAACATAATTATGTGTGATAAGGTTCTAAATAGGACTTTAAAAAAAGAATCGTTTCTATTATCTTTTCTACCGGAAAATTATACTGTGTTTAACACAAAATATTTATATTTTTATATACTTTATAATTTGAGAAAAGAGAAATGCATAATAAATTACATCTTTCTCGAATAGATTTAAAACAAAAATAAAAATAGTCAATAACATTTACAATTTTCTATCTTTTTCATGTTTTGCAATGTAATTTCATAAATTAAAATTGGATAAATTATATTAATATTACTATATATATTTAATAAGTATATATCATTTATAATAATTTAACAATGATAATTTATGTAATATTTTTAATTGTTCCTCTATTTATATATATAGATATTTCTTGTTATACATTCTTTATATTATTCGACAAAACTTATTCAATTAAAATAGACAAATCTAATATTTCTTGTCAGTATCATGCTGAAAGTTTCATGCGATCATTCTATGTATCTCTCAATCATGCAATATAAAAAATATATAACATTCAATCTATATATTAAAATGTAGAAATAAACGTATGTAGGTATTATTTTCGCATTTAAATAATTGAAATAACCATTTGACAAATGAGATATAAATTAAATATTATAACTACATTTAGATTTATATGTAACTACAATTTTCTATTCAATAATATAACTGTAAAGAGATATTCGGGTAAAAAACTAATCTAAAATCAAGTAAGTAGAAAAAATATGCAAAATGATGTTTTATAAAGTTATATAAATAGTTTTATAAATGTTTTATAAAGTATAATTTTTCATAAGTCTACTTCTAAAAGCCATTTGTATCACCCGTAAGACACAAGCAAATGTAACAATAAAACCATGATTCTCGCCATGTTGCGCGACGTGTTCGCGGTCACGCGTACCGTCGTTCAGTAGTCATCAAATAAAAAGGTAAAGGAATGTAAAAAGAACGTAAAAAATGGCTGATTCAACGACACCCATGAAAGACTCACCGGTAATAGACATCCATGGATACCGAGGTATATCCGAGATCCCAGGTTGACCGGTGGTGGGTTGTTGGCAGGACGTCAAAGGATCGACAACGGCCGATGCGGCAGCCGCTTGATGGTAGAATTGTGCCGCCGCTGCCATGGATGCCGAGGCGGCCGACACGGCCGAGGATGCGGACGCGGATGAGACGAGGCTACCGGGCGTAGCGCCGTTTTGATGATGGTGGCCTAGAGTATAGTTAACCATAGGGTCGGCGGATGCAGGTGCCACATTGCCGGTCAGACTAGCTGTATAACGGCAGGATTTGTCGCCGGCGGTCGCGGCGTCCACGGCGGCGGCGGCGGCCAAAGCAGCGCTGGATGCCGCCGTGGAGCCGAAACCGGGCACCATGCTGGACGTGCCGAATGCGGCGGCCGCGACCGCTTGCTGTTGCTGATGATGATGATGCGCCGCTGCGGCGGACACGTATGGATACATGCTGGATGTACGTGCCGCCGGTGACGTAGAAGCGGAACTTCCCGAGTGCTGGGGACTCGAACCCGTCGGGCTCGGCGAATTGTGCTGCTGTGCGTAATTGACTGCCGCGGCCGCCACTGCAGCCGCGGATAAACTTGATTCTAGGCTCGCGGTGGCCGGACTCGTCGTGCACGCCTGAATGGTACCTGGAGCGCTTGAGAATAACTGTTGAGGGTGGAATTGTTGGTACTTAGCAGGTAGCATACTATCAATTATGAATTTCGTACTCATATCGCCTGTCGGTGCCGATGTGGACCTGATGCCGAAGACACGCCCGGGCTGGACGACCGGGACGAGTGTCTCAACACCGACACCGTGGCGACACGTCCACCGGCTGCTGCCTCATCGCGCGTAATCCGTGTTTCGCACGGATCACGAGAACACTCGGATCTCTTGAGAAATTTGACAGGAGAACGCTTCTCTCTCGCTCGGAGAACGCGCGCACTTTCCTTGCCGCCCGCCTGGAAATCCTCTCCGTTGTGCTTTATTGCTTTCCGGGTCCACTATCGCTTTCCCTATCAGCTATCAACGTCCACTTTTACTGCCACTTACGCAACTCAGCACATTATCACAACAACAATACCGAACGCGGCGGGATGCGGTCACCGGGGACGACTGACCACGAATCACCGACCATCCGCGATGGCAAATGACATGTCCCTCCTCTCGATCACGGGATTCGGTACCGCGCGGAATCCGCGGGATCTTCGCGTTCGAAATTTGAATCCTGTGCTTCGACGTAATCGCGCCTTCCGATTACGAATCCATCCGTATCGGAATAAGAATCGGCGATAAAGCGGCGGGTCCTTCTTCTCACCGGGCCCACCCAATCGTGGTCCCAGCTCGGAAATTGGGCGACGGTGAACCCGGCGACGGCACGAGGAGAGAGAAGAGAAGAGCGTGGCCCCTGTCAGGTGTTAGAAGCCGTTTCTTGCGTACTTCTCGGATAGTCGACGAATCCTTTATGGGCCATGCATGAAGGTACTATAGCCCCCTATCCCGAACGCCGCGTACTACAACCCACGGCCAGCTAAATGTAACCCCTTACAATAATGGCGCCGCTTGTCTCTCCGTTCTGTTCCCCCCTCTCCTTCTACGAGTCTGGAGCGCGCCGGGGTACCAGCTGGTAAACACAGCCGTCCAATCGTGGCGCGGCCTTACCAGAGGCGGACCAATCGCAGACATGCTAGGCGCGCCAAGATGAATGGGTCTCTTTCTCCGTCGGCTCTCCTCTCGCTCCGATCTTCGCTTTCGGCTATATCGCGAGCTCTCTTCCCTCACTTAGACTTCGGGCACCTCTCGCTTCCACGCTCATCGTATACCCGGCGTGCTCCGTCCGTCCGACGGTCCGTACGTTCGCCTCTTGCCAGTGCAGTCGTGCTCTCCACGTTGTCTTATACCCTGCAACGTTTCAACGTCTCACACGGTATTTTCTGTCCTCTTCTAAGTTTCTTTACTTGTCTCTCTCTCTCTCCTCTCTCTTTTTTCTCTATCTCTCGTTTGAGTGCAATCTTTTTATCTCGTTTTTACGCTACCTCCATCCTCCTCTCCGAAATTATTTTTTCTTTTTTTTTGGATCGCGTCAAGGCAGCACTTTTTCGAATTTCTGCTTCGTACACATTACTTGTTTTCTATTCAGTATGTATTAGTCCTAAGACGGACTATCTTTCAGTATAAAAAATTATAACAATTAAATCTTGAAATATTCCATGTATTTCTGTCATTTGCAACTATATTTTTCATTATTTTTTCCATCCTTCTAATAGCATTATTTTTAATTAAACAAAATATTTTTAATTTGTTCAACTAGATTTTTTCTTCCTATTCTTTTTTATTAGATTTTTTTATTACAGTTCAACATATGATGATAACTTTTTAAGGCCTTTACAAAGATATCAGGTTTACATTTATATTTATTAGACAGCTGTAAATTTTACTTATTTGGTACGGAAGCAGGACATGCCATATATTAACAAAATAATTATTAAACAAAATAATTATGCATATATTTTCATAAATAATTACATGAAATTTTTATCTGAAGACCTATTATTTCCTTTATTATTTAAATCGGTGTTTTTCAATTCAGATATTTCTATTTTATTTGTTTGATTTCAGGTAATTTACATACACGTATAACGAGCAAGTATATCATTAATAAAAAATTTAAAAACAATCCTGTTTTTGTCGGCCACCGAATGCAATTATGAATCATCATAGAGACTTATAAAAAAAACAGCCCATTTTTTCGTGAAGAAACACTTTGCAACGTATATTTCATTCTTCGTTTTATGTTTCCTCGTAAAGAACAAAATCATGAATAGTTCACTAATGCATAAGAAAAGGCACTTTAGATAATTGCCTCTCTCAATCCGTAGAGCATATACACACAACTTCAAATCTCTGTCAAAAACATTCGATTCGCGCCTTTTCTTTCCATCTTCTCCCTTTTCTCTCCCCCTCACCGTTTCTCTTCCTCTCTCGCGACTGCTTTTGCCAAGTATTACAGAAACTGGCACGATTTGGCCACCGTCGAATCGTCGACTCGTCGACTTTTGGAAACCACTGAACTCGTCCCGGTTGGGATATCGTGGCGGCATTTCTATGTGAGAATGGTTGCGCGGGCGAGGGGAGACGCGGCTTGCGAGAGGGAGCGGCTTACGTCGGTGGCGAATACCGTGATAGAAGGTGTACCGGGGAATATCGCACGCGAAGGTAGTAAGGTGCAGAGCGGGTAAAACTTACAGCCTGGATTCCGGCGTTTCTTACGATGGACAGCTCATTTTACACACCCCATTTTGTTGGTAAACTTCATACGCTCAAAACACTTTTGTTTAATAGAGAGTATATTTATTTATTACATAATTATCGTAATTACAGTTATTAACTACCCTCTGATTAATTTATTTGAAAAGATTAAAATTAAGATTATAAAGCTGCTTTTTATCGTGGATTATAGCTCAAGATGTAAAATATTTCTTTCTAGAGTTCGTAAAAATATTTTTTTTTCGGCGTTGCGCGTGTAAATGAGAAAGACAATAATTTATAATTAAGAATTTCAACAATTTTATATATATTTAGTAGTTAGAACTTCTATCTAACTAAAACTACCTTTTATTATAATGAGATATAAATTATAATTCTGATTCTCTCGCGGAAATCTTTATCATATTCCTTAATCACAAATGTTAAAAATTATTGTACACATTTAAGCTCTACTTAAATTACTAAAAGAGAACTTGTCCGCCACATAAGTATTCAAATAAATTTGCGCAATTTGTAACAACATTATGTAACTTAAATATAATGTAAGTTGTATTTATAAAAGCTAGGACTACAATACTAATTGTAAGTACTTACCATTCGATGTGTTGGCTGGATGCTCATGTAAATCTCGCTCCCTGAAATCAAATTCAGAAAACATTAATTCTAATATATAGAAAAATAAAAAATACAACATAGACAATTTGAATAAAATATTGAAATACGAATAATAATATATATTTTCAGATTTAATATACGAAGGTAAATGTATTCGCCATTACGCCCCTCGTCGTTTAAAATATCGTCTGTCGGCCGTTCAATATGTCGGCTTTCATGTATAGAAATGAATGTCTGGCAGTTCTTTGTGTCTGGGCGGTACGATCAATAGCAGAAACCACAAAAAATGTTTACGTGGGTAAATCGGCTAAAATAATTAATTAATGTGATTAATCGTCATGGTTATTAAAAAGAAATAAACACGTAAATTAATTACACTTAGTGTCGCATATAAAATTAATAACATAACGTCTGTTTATACTTCTTTGTATCAAGCTTGATAAAAAATATATATTTGATTTCGTAATGTATATTTTATATATTTAAATGTGATACAAATATATGTACGAAAATATGTAACAAATTTTTGAAAGAATTTATTGTGGAATAAAAACCAATTCTTTCAGTACAGCTGGATAATTAATAATTATGGCAAAGCATGTGGCCTTATGTTAATAAATTTAGATATTTGTAAATGAACAAATTATAGAATCTTATTCATTAGTCTTAAAAAATATTAAACAATCTTTGTTGACATTCGTGCTTTTCCTTTCATTACTAATAGGTAATTTCTGAAACTATCGAATTCACAAAACAGATGTAATCCCGTAAAACGCAACTGATACATTCTTCAGCTGATAGTACAATCGCGGGTGATGAGTTGAGACAAAGGGGTTTCAAGAATGTAATCCCAGAAAACTGACCAGTACAGTCCGACCGGTCCAATTATATCAACGATCGCTTGTCGGATCTCGACGTCTTTGCTCGACTGGTTAAGGCACGAACACAAGAGCTGTCAGAGTAACATACATCTACAGATGCAACACCCACATACATGTGTGCCCACACGAGAGTGAACGTGTGGGCACACATGCGGTGTCGTCTGCGACGAAGACACGCATGTACCTGTCTCAAACACCAGGCAATATAAATTGCAACCACGTCAAGCGTGCGAAGTTACAAGAGAGATGGAGAAAGGTAAAAATCTATATGTGTGTAGGTATGTGGGTGTGTGCGTTCGCGGAAAGGTGTGTAGAGGATAAAAAGAGATCTGCGTCCCCGCCTGAAACATGGAACGTATCGCTATGCCGGAGACTCGCTGGACACGTTGAGTCCTTCATCGAATCCGCTCAAGACAATTTTTGGCGAACGAAAGAGAAGGACAGCGGGTCGGTTCGCAAAAAGGAGAAATTGGGCGGCGGTCGGTGGGTGCTGATCCTGGAACCCATTCGGGGAGACGCCCTAGTGATTGGGGAAGAGCACCTAGTGCGCCATCTCCGGGAAGATAAAAGCAATTCGCGAACCCTCGGCTGTGTATCGATATCTTTTGCCTCGGCAAAACGATGTTAAGGCTTGGGATATCAAAATCTCCTAGAAGCTACTTAGGTTGATGTGCTATCAATCATGATATAGACAGAGATTTATATTGGAATTCTGTATAAATTTATACAAAAGAGGAATTAATGAAATTTCAAACAATCACAGCCTATCATTACGCAACCATAATTTTTGCATAAAAATTACAAGAAAAGTTATTTGACTTTATATAATTGTTCGAAAAAATATTGTGTATTCATTATTTGTTCGTTATCTTCTTTGTTTCGTACTTCTAATAATTAATTGTGCTATATAATGAATTAAATTTCATATTTAATTCAATATTTTATTTTATTTAAACATATATTCAAATAGTTCTCAAATTTTTTTAATGATTTGTAGACGTAAAAATGAAACACAATCATATGTTTTACACATGTATACGTGTATTTAGTGTAAAATTAATTGCTGTCGTAAATTTTTAATGCACATTACTTTTCGTAAAAAATTAAAATATTTAAATATAATTTTAAATATATATTTAAATATGTATGTAAATATTTAAATAGTAATATAATTCATAAAATTATTTTTTTAATAAACTGTCAATAGTAAATTGGTAGCGATAAATCTATTAGCATGTTCGTGTACTGGCTAATTTAAACTTCAAGATCCTTCCAGATATTCAAGAAACTTCCCTGACAGGTAAATATAATTAATATGTATAAGTATGTAATAATGTATTATATTGATCACTGGATAAAAAATAATGAAGAAAAGTTTATAATTAATTCTATAGTTTCACAGAGAAAAGTTATGCTACGGAATCCAAGGTCAAGGTTTGCTCATCTGTCTTATCGACTGAGTTTCGTCCTAGCGAAAAATTAACATCTTAATGAGAAATTTACGAACTTATTAGATAGCTTTTTACTTACAGAAATGTATACAAATTATAATAATAGTGCATAGTAATTGCACATGATAATTTAATACGATACAATTTAATTTTTCATTTTACTTTCTATCTAAATAGAGTTCGGATTGTATAGTTATATTTTATTTTACACATACATAAAAAAAGTACATTTATAATATAAAAGATATGATGCAATATTTCTGATAAGATACCCATTAATTTATGCAAATTTAGCT